TGCTGGAGGAAGACAATCACCACCTCTCCAGAGTCTCTGCACCTCCCTAGAAGAAGCCACCTGTTCTCCCAGAGTGCCCCGGTGGGACTGGACTGCACAGGCTGGCCAGAGCCCGTGCCAGATACTGGTGAGCTTTATGTCTTTCTTTTGTCATATTCCTGGGTGTGCTGTGAAGGACAGGGGTGAGTGTTGTGATAGCTGTGTCCACTTGCCAAGAAGAAGCATGCCAAAGGTGAGAGGGATTGACAGCTGTCCCACCCCTTCAACTATCAAGGACCCAAAGAAGGGGCATGGTCAGCATTGGCAGACACCGTGATTGAGTCCCCAGGCCTGGCTCTGAAAGGTCTCAGGCTTGGCCTCAAAGACACCAAATTGTTCTTTTGGGTAAGATATGTATTGGAAGAGTAAATAACATCGGGGACCGGGGGAACAGCATGGTAGGGGCTGTGAGGAGAGTTCAGGCCTATGTAGCAGAGTGAGGGCCCCTTCTTACTGGCCTCAGAGGAAGCAGGGACTCATGCCATGTATTTGATGAGTGGTCTGCAGTAAACATGTATAGAGACAAACCCATGTAGTTTGCTGTCTCAGATCTAGCCAGCGGGGTCTCCTTTCCTTGAGTTTTACACTGGCAGCCTCTTGGTTCCTTTACCAAAACGACAGTAAACAGCATCACAACGTACGTGCACCCACAAAAGGCTGAATCACACAGAAGGACAGAGGGCCCCAAATGAGCCAGGCCCGGCCTCTTCCGCACAGGTGCAGTTTTCCTTAGTCATACCTGGAGGCAGGGGCTGGGTGCTGAGAGATGTTCCCGGGCTCTTGACAGATGACAGATTTAAAAACTGTCGTCCTAAGCAGGTGTGTGTTATGTATGCGCAATCTAAAACATCCAGCTGGCTGCCAAGGAGGCAGGTTTGTAAGATAGGTCAACCAGGGCAAAGCCCTAAGTAGAGTTAAAGAACAAAACAAAACAACAAAAAAAAAAAACTAAGCAAAAACACTGGAAAAACAACGCACTTCCTTTTACCAGGTATGGAGGGAGCGGGGGAAACCCAGGCCATTAGTCAAGGCCATTGAGGGTAAGCGGTGGTTCACCCCAAAAGTAGCATTTGCCCACAGCTGACTGTGGAGGCAGCTGTAGGGCTGGTCTGGGTAGTGAGCTCACAATCCAACGTGTGTGTGCTGGGCACTGGTCCCTGGCAAGGTTTGGGCTTTCTGTCCGCAAGTGAGCCTGCTGAGAATGCATCGTGAAGTGGAGCCTGTGATCATAAACCCACAACAAAGTTACCAAAAAGCATCTTCTATCTGTTGAAATAACGGCTTTCAAGGAAAGACATTTTATCTTATGACCACTCTGTTAAGTTATAGAATTACTTTGAAGCCCGTGGAAGGGGGCTATGGAGATGTGTCACTTAGTAAAGTACTCCAGTGCAGACCTGAGTTTGATCTCTAGAACCCAAGTGAAAAGTCTGATGTGGTTGTGCTCGCTTGTAATCCTAACACCAGGGAAGTAGAGGGAGGGGCTCACTGGCCAGTCAGCCTAGCCTACTTGGTGAGCCCTAAGCCAATGAAAACACAAACTTATCCGTCACAAGAGCAGGTGAATTTGAAAATGAACAGAAAAACCATGAACAGGAGAAAATCCTTGAGCTCCAGGAAGGCACCGGAAAGTATGTATGAAAGTTAGCAACTGGACCATGAATTACAAGTCCTGTGAGGGCAGAGAACATAGGTAAGACCAGGAGGAAAAGTAAAGGAGATGAACAGAAATCCTCCCACCAGAAGGAAAAGGATAAAAAGAAAAAAAAGGAGTTAAATGCTGGGTGGTTTGAAAGGCAGAAGAGCAAGCATTGGGGCAGCAATAATTGAGGGAGAAAAGAAAGCTTAGCTAAGCTAATCCTGAGACCCAAGAGTCTCCCACATTAACAAGGGGCTGGAATTATCACTCCTTTGTGACAACTGAGATAGAGAGAAATGGGGTGTATCTAAGTTCTCACCCAACGGAAAGTGTAGCCTGCTCTAGCCCTGGTTATGAAGTATCACCATTGTTATTGTCTTCATTATGATTATTATTTTTTAATCAATTTATGCATATGACTGTGTTGTCTACATGTATGTCTGTGCACCATGTGTGTGCCCAGAGCTCCTGGAGGCCAGAAAAGCAGGTGTTAGACCCAGAAACTAAAGACAGTTGTGAGCTGCTGTGTGGGTGCTGGGAATCAAACCCAGGTCCTTTAGAAGAATGTCCTGTGCTTTTAACCGCTGAGCTGTCTCTCCGATCTTAACAGTTACTATTTTTACGTGTGCTCAAGGTAAAGACAAAAATTTTAAAAATTTTTAATTTTTTAAAAATTCTGCACAAATTTATCAAACAATGCTCTGAAATACCTGCATATTGTGAAGCTCTGAGTTTCTAAGAAGGTTCAAGTGTCAGGGCCAGCTTTGAAGATGGATTATCTGAGAAAGGCTACTTTTTCTCACAACTGCCTCTCCAAAATTTGTGTATTGTATGCATGTGACACACACACGTATGTATGTATGTATGTATGTCCACATACACACACATACATACTCACATACTTTTTTGCATGTGTACACACACACGTATGCATGTGTGCTGTCCACACACACACATACACATACATGCTTGATTGTGTGTCTGTATACGCACACACACTTATGCACGTGGATACGGGTATGAAAATACATACATGTAGAGATCAACCTTGAGTATCATTTCTTGTCCGCTGTCTACCTTGCATTTATAGACTGTATCTCTCACTGGGAACTGAAACTCACTACTTAAGTAAGGCTGGCCGGCCAGTAGGCCCAAGGGGTCTACCTGTCACAGCTTCCCTCATTCTGAGACATCAAACACATGCCATGACACCAGCTTTTCATATGTGTTGGGGACTGAACTCAGGGCCTCTAGCTTGCACAGTAAACACTTTCTTGACTGTGTCACCTCCTTGGCCTTAGTAAGTGAAACTCTGCCATTTGCTCATCCTTCTCCATCACTGATTCTGGGCCAGTAGCAATACAACAAAAAATGAGTAGGGATATCTATACTCATAATTGACATAGCAGACATCAAACTAAAAGTAGTCATAAGGGACGCATGTCATCATCACATATGATGAAAGGGGTCAGTCTATCAAGATGATACAACAATTGTTAAGTACACACACATACACATACAGAGAGAGAGGGAGGAAGAGAGAGAGAGAGAGAGAGAGAGAGAGAGAGAGAGAGCATTGGTGTAGTCAGGTGGACAAAATAGATCTAGATATAATCCCCATGGGTAATCAATACGCAGCTCTCATTAACCAGTGGGCCATCCAGACAAAAAAAGTCAGCTAAGAACCTTTAGAATTAATCTGCACCACAGGTCAAATGACTTAAAAAACACCCACAGCATATTCCCCCCATCATCTGCAGAGTGCATACTCTTCTCTACAGCCAGTGGAACTTTCTATCAGGTCAGACTTCCTATTGATCCTCCCCGTGAATTTATTGCTGCTTTTGAGCTTAACTCCCGAACCTCCATGTGGTTCTGTTAACACTACTTCTGTTTGAGTATCGGTGTGACACAACATTGTCTTCTGTTGATTATGGTTTCCTTTGGTTCTGTGGACAGATTTACAATGGATGCATGGTTTTTGTTGGTGGTGGTGGTGGTGGTTTTGGGGTTTTGTTCTCCTGGCAAATGGTATGTGGCTACTCTTGTATGAAGTATCAGTGGTCTGGGCGCTTCTTCCTCACGAGGGTCATTCTTTCCCATTCCAGAAATGTTTCATTGTTTGGTTGGAAATTGGTTATTTTAAGCACTGTATTGTATCTACGCTGAGCACTGCTCTCTGACTAGACCTGATATTGTCATTCCCTTGCCTGATAACTAGGTGATTGCTTTATGGATCTTTCTTTCCCTTCCCACAGTATGAAGCCTCTAATAGGTTCAGGAGGTGCAGCTCTCACGTGTCCACAGTTACCAGATGACAGAGGCTTTGCTGGGGCTTCCTTTCCCCTCTTCTCAGACTTTACAAAAGGATTAAACTGTGCTAAGTGGCAGCTGGATACTCTATTATTTTCAGTATTACTCCTTAAAGACAAATACTATTTAAGCAATCCAACCAGATTCTGGTTTGTTTGAAAGAACGTGTTCTCAGGTCAGGATTTGGTGTTCAACTCCATGTAGACCATTCTAGCTGTCTTTACCCAATTGTCTCTAGCTGGGTTAGTTTAGGCTGACTTGTTGCAACCTTGAATTCCCCAGTTCCCTTCACAAAACCTCTACTGTTCTTGAAGGCACCTTTAGGCTTATACTTGTCCATGCTCAATTACAAATACGATCAGTCCCTTTGGGAAGAAACACGGGGCCATTGTGTAGCCAGCTTTTTCCCCTAAGGCTGAAGAATCTTGAAGACAGGGCTCTGAATGTAGGAGCAGGAACAATGGCAAGCTTCTCCCAGTAGTCCTCCCAGAGCCAGGGCTTGGGGGAGTGTCAGTAGCTGAAGTCCTTGGAGTTTGCCTTTCCCGGCATGGAACTTACTAGCCCTGCCATGTATTCTCTATGGGTCAAAGAAGAAATCCCACTACTGACTCCCTTTCTATGGACTTAGGCAAGAGCAGCTTCAGGAGCCTGGGAAATGTTAGTATCCTGCTCCCAGAGGAACCTTTGCTGAGGCAGGCCCACCACCAAATGCTAAGCCTCACCAGGTTATAAGGGCACGGGAGGAGTGATTCGGGTAGGCTCCAGAGACTCCACCTTCTTACTGAATTGTCAAGTGATATATTCTTAGATTCATTTTCTTTATTTCATTTCCTGACTGCCACTCCAGAGCTATACACATGTATATAAGTTACTCTTGCTTGCTGCCCTGAAATTGGCTCCAGTCTCCTATTTTTACAAACTGTCAATGAGGTCCTTGGAGGAGATGAATTGGATGGCAATGCTTGTCACATCTTGCCTTACTCCATGTCTTAAGCATCTCGTCATAGCCCCACAGCTGTGTTTTGTGCTGCATACAGTAGGTTCGCTGTAACAGTTGCCTGTGGTGGTGATGATATTCCAGTGTCTGGGAATCCTCCAAAGGGAAAAGATGGGGAATATTAGTTACACAATGGTCCAAGTAAGGGTGGGAATCTTTGGACCAGTTCCATCCATGACCTTTACTTATTCCCCCACTACTCCCTGGGAACATGATGTTTGCTTATTCCCCATTTCATTTAAATCTAATTGTAATACATCTGTAATAATAGTACCTATTGGGTAATATTGTAGACATTCCATAGGACATACCTAATATATATCTATTAAATGCCAGATAATATTTCAGGTGTTGCACATATATGATCAGTTGCCTTTTTCATTGCTGTGACAAAAATACCTGGTGATGAACCACTTAAGGAAGAGCCTGTTTAGATCATGGTTCAAAGGTACAGTCCATCGTGGTGGGGAAGGCATGGCGGCAGCAGGAGTGTGAGACAGCTGGTCACATTGCATTCACAGGCAGGAACCTGAGAGCACTGATGCCTGGTACTCAGGCCGTGTTTTCCTTTTTATGCTCTAGCTCATGGAATGGTGTCACCAACATTTACTATGTCACCCACCTCTATTGACCTAACCCTCACAAGCATGTCCACAGTCTGGTCACCATGATGTTTTTAATCCTGTCAAGTTGACACGTATCGTCCCAGTTAGTCCCACAGCTGTCCCAGAGAAATAGTTAGAAAGCAGCTCTGTTTGCTGTCTGGAAAGTTAAGCGATCTGCCCAAGGTCAAGGCCGGGAAGAGACAATCCAGACTGAAATCCAGATGGCTTCTTTCTGACCAGCACTGTTACAGGAAGCGACACATGGGGTTAACTGTGAGAGGGATAGGACAGAAATGATCTGTAGGCTCAGACAGGTTCTGACCCCTTCTGTCTCCACAGGGAGCCACTGATCCACCACCTTTCACCTCATCACCTTTCTGTGCTGGGCTTTCTGATACGTGATGTCACTGTTAACCCAGACATAGGCACACATGAATGTATTCGCATGCATGAATAAACACACACTATCCACATGCTTCATTGAAAAATTTGTAGACCTACTATGTGATGGCAAGGGACTTCCCCGTCCACCTTAATGCTATCAGATATGAAGCCTGGAAGCTTGACAGGTGTCAAAGGGCTTAGCAGACTTCCAGTAATTACCTGGCATGGCAATTGAAGGGGGAGGGCTCATTTCTACTTACAGTTTCAGAGATTTCAATCCTTGGCTGCTCAGATTCGGGGTGGAGGGCAGAACATCACGGTGGCACAAACATGTGGAAGATGACATTAGTGGTCACGAAGCAGGAAAGGACTGGAGACTTCCTAGACTTTCAGAGGCATCCATCCCACAGTGACCCACGTCCCTCGGGCAAGGCTGTGCCTCCTAAGGGTCCCGTTACCTCCCAGATAGTACCACCAGATGGAGCATTGTTCAAACCGTAACAGTGGGCTTGAAGACTCTCCCCACAGTGGGGCAGTATCTTCCTATGATCCTCTTTATGATCCCTTACACCCTGGAATAGGAAACCCTGCATACAAATGGTCATCATCGCTGTGGGCTTGGAAAAACAAAACAGAGATTCTTTGCCATGCTGGAAATTTCATCTCCAGGGACCTCCATCTTTCCCATGGTACAGCCGAGCCTGGCTGCCTGGTTGAAATCCGCTAAAGTCTTGGGAGATCTGAAATGGAACTGAACTCCCTGTGGGTATGTGGTGTTCACTAGCTCATACAAGCTAGACCTGCCTAAGTTACTGCCACATGACAGGCAACCCAGGCACCGTACACTTCACTCTCCTCAGAGTCTTGGCCTGAAAGAGCAAAGAGCCTCCTTCTCCTGGCTATCCCTTCACAGCTGCTCATGGAACGTGGGAGCCTGTGACCAGTGCTGTGCACACTCTGGGAGTACTCCTGGGTAAGGTGTCATACTCCTTAGTAAGGGATAAGCAGGAGATGGCTATCCAGTGGGAACCAGTTCTGGGAAGGGATGGATGTCATCTAGCTGAGGAAGGAGGTGTGCCAAGATGGGAAAGTTGGACCAGTACCTTAGACTGCAGAGAGAAGAGTGGCTCGGGTTCAGTGTGTGCAAAAGCCCGGTGGCAAAGAGAAAAGCAAGGCAGCCGGTGCCGCTGGAGCCGAGCGAGTAAGGGACAGGCATGGAGGGGCGGGGGTGGGTGGTATAGAAATCAGTACAGCCACAGCATGTAGGTCTCAGGGGTCATCTGGCATGTAAAAAAGAAGCCTTGGCAGAAACTGGTACAGGAGAATTGCCTGACGTGGCTTAGATTCTCAGGTTCCCTCTGACGGACGGCTCTGTGGTAAGCCTGAAGCTGCCTTCCACACACAGTAGGGTAATGAGGAAACAACCTCCACCTTGAGGTAGAACACAAGCCTTCTGCACAGAAGGCAACCCGAAGTGAGTGCGACTCCCGCTGACTGCAGAGGACCCTTCTTGTATATTTCTTCAGAGGACAACCCAGGAGAACCCTTGGTTCAGACAGATTGAATTAGGGAAGCAGAAAGAGGGGACAGCTGCTTTCCCCAAGGTCACAAAAGAATGGAGGCAGGGTCTGAAGTACCGGGGCTGGGTATAAAGGGAGCAGGAAGTGCACAAGGTGGGCTAATAAAAACAGACCAGGGATGTGGCTAAGATACCCTCCAATGTCCTAAGTGAAATCCAACACCGGTATTGTCAGTATTGTTCTGGTAACTGGTAACTGACTTTGGAACAACCCCCCCCCCCCGTCACTCCTGAGTGTCCAAGGCATAGGGATCGGGATCTGTGACTATACAAGGTTCCTGGTGTTGTGGGGGCAAAGAGCACACGCCAATGAGGGATAGAGGTGGCTGCAAGAAATAAGGCCTCGGATGCAAGGACAAGAGCCTGCTCTTTCTTCTGCCTTGCCCACTGTCGTCGTCCTCTGAAATGCCCGTGGAACTTTAGAGTGGATCTAGTTCCCAAGAAGGTAGAATGCCGTTGCTGAAGAGGCCATGTAGGAGAGAAAAGGAAGAGAGGGTCACTAGCTGTGATCAGCTTCTATCAAGACTTGCCCTATCACTTCTCAACCTCCAGGTGAGACCACCGTGGTTTCCACCATCTTGCCCCTGATTTCGTAGTTAGATATCGCCGTGAAGGCTTCTCGTTCTGCAGCCATACTCCAAGAACACACACAAGACCCCAGAGTGCCTGAGAAAATGCCACTGACCTCCTTCTCAGAAGGGCCAAGTAACCCCTGGCTCCTTGTCACCTGCCATCGACGTCTCTATTTCTGTCTGTCACTGGACTTCGCTCCCGCGATGTCAAACTGTTTGGCATGAACTGTGATACTATTTTAAAGGACCCATTAGTGTTACCACTGCTGTCAGAAGAGTCGCGGTCGCGGTTCACCTGGGCACGAGGGCGCGCCCAAAGAGCGCGTCCCCAGGCCAGCGTGCGCAGCTGTGGGGCCCCAAGTATCATCTAGGCTGCGGGGTCCCTTGATTGCACCTCGCAGGAACTGTGCTAGCCTCTGCCGTAGCGAGCCGCCCTCGCTCTCGCCCGCACCGCAGCAGGGCGCCGCCTCCTCCCCGACACCCGCACGCCAATGCTGGCGGCCGCGGTGAGGACCCAGGGTGGCCCGGGGCCCGCGTCCGCGCCCCAGGTCTGCGTGCGCGCGGGCGAGAGCGCGCCGCCCGGCCGGCCGGCGACCCACAGCGGGGCCCACGCGCTCTGCGCCCTGCCGGGTGGCTGCCCAGCAGCGCCCACACGGGGTCCTGCGCCCGCACCCGGGCCTGGCCCGGAGTCTGCTCGGCGGAGCCCAGCGATGTCGGGCGGCCCGGAGCCACGGCCGTGCGGCGGCGATGCTGCCCGGGACCCCGCCGGCCTGTGGCTGGAGCTTGGGCCCGCCTGCCCTGGGGCGCCGCGCTGCCCCAGCGAGTCGAGCGGCCCTACCAGTGGCGACCTGGGCACCAGCAGCGGCAGCAGCAGCACCGGGCTCTCCCCCGGTTCCGACTCGGACAGCAGCGGCGTGGTGTGCAGCGGCCGCGCTGCGGGCATGCGCGGCGCCCCGTCGCGGTCCCGGAGCCTGGAGAGCCTGCGCTCGGCCTCGGCGGGTAAGGGCACCGCCTGCTCTCCCGCACCCTCCGGCCTCGCCGCAGCCTCCCCTCGTCCTTCTCGTCTTCCCCTCCCATCTCCTGACCCCCACCTCCCCAACGGCTTTGTCCCTCTGCCACCTTTTGCTTATGACCGCCAGACCACCTGTCCCTTCTCTGACCAGCTTTTAGCAGGGCTCCTGGTTTGCCAAGTCCTTGCTGCAGCTGCCAAGAGAGGTGACTGGAAGTTGGTTGTCTAGACCCCTTCTTGAACGGCACGTGTCTGACTGTCTGCAGCCTCTTGCCTTACCCCCTTTCCGTGTGGACAGCCACCCTCTGGGGAGTGTGTGGGTCCCAGTCTCAGATGGAGCCCCCGGCCTGGTGCATCTTGGAACAAGAGTAAAGTTTCTCCGGATGAGATTCTCTGGCGTCTCCCTGCCCTATGTGCCCCCTAGTGCTCCCGGTGTACCCGAAGGGCAGAATTTGGGTACCAACAGGTATGGAAGAGTTTGAACCTCAGTGAGAAAGTCCAGAGCGACTTCATGGATGGTGATCATCTGTCTTTGGTTAATTGTTGGTTCAGTTTTAATTCAGCGTCTGAGCACTGACAGTTGCTGTTAGGAAATCAGCGAGGTAGTGTGTCCGTTATCCCTTGTGCAGCGGCACTCAGCCTAAGAACACTGCTGGCCCCACCCAGACGTAGGCATGAGACTGAAGTGTGCATCGAAGCCAGACCGGAGCAAAGGGACCATGTGGGCAGCAGGATCCCCTTCTTCCACCCCTACCTCCAGGACATAGCGAGGACTGTGTTGAGGAGGAGCAGAGTGGTAAGACCGCGAGGGAAGGACAGGAACCTTGTTCTGTAGCTAGGAGGCTTGGAAAAGGGGAAAGACGTACAGACCCTTGTTTTTAGTACTCTACAACTCCCATCTGTGCTCTCTCAAAACAGACACATGATGTTCAGCAAAGTCTGATATCCCCACTGTCTGTGTGCTCCGACAAGTTTCATGTTTTCTACTGTGATGCCCTCCTGTCCCTTGATGGCTTCCCCAGAAACTCTCTGTCCTTTTGAGCTTAAACAGAACCTACTTTGAGAGTACCAAGGTAGATAATACCCTGAGAGATTTCAAACAATTTGGCAAATAGCCCTTTCCCCTGTCTTTACTCCCAAAGCATATGCTGTCTTTTGGAGTTGGAAGGTATGCTGGCTTCTAGAACTGCAAACCCAGCCAGAGTCTCTCTTTTGATGACCCAGTGACTGGGGTCCCCTGAGCCACCTTCCCTTTCTTTCTGTCTCAGGCACATGTGTACCAGTATGACAGAATGGGGTGGCGGAGATGGCAGGGTGTGTTAGGTATCCTGATATCCAAGGACCCCCCAAGTTCAGTCCAGAGCACTGGGGTGGGGTGTTGAGTCTCAGACACAGTGGTGACATCTACCTGAAGGAGGGGGGGCACAAGGTAACCATGACACAGGGCTGCTTCTTGAGGGGCTCCGAGCTGTCTGGCATCACATGACAGCAGAGCAGAAAACGGCATTATGCTGTAGGGTTGTTTGAGACCTGGAAGCAAATGCCAGCCCCCACCCCGTGACATGTGACCACTGAGTTATCTGCATAGGTATTGCTCGGTATGCAGACAAGACAGCATACTTAGGCAGCAGCAGCAGCCGGAGGAATCATGGAAGGAGTTTCAAGTCACTTACACATCCTTCGTAGCTCACTTCCGTCCTCTGCCCCCTATTCCTTGCTGTGGGGGCAAAACCTCACCTACCTGACCTGGGATGGGTGCTAAAATTAGAAGGTCCTTCGGTGTGTGTGCTGTGGATTTGTGTGAAATGTTGACACCATCACTGCTGCTCATCTAGATTCCTAGGCAGAATTTCCCCTGATCATGGGGACAGCCACAGAGCTCTGAATTAATTCTCTTCCCGCCTACAGTGTGACTACCTATCCTGGGGGGGGGGGCGGGGAGCTGTGAAAACATGCCCTTCAGTAATTCTCTGTAGATGTTCATTTCAGATGAAGAGATCTGGTTGGAGGAAGACTTCTGGGGGGAGCACTTGATGGGAGAAGGAAAGAGGAATTAGCATGTTTCAAGCCCTAAGCAGGATCCGTGAATGGCAGTGACTTGCTGTCTGAACTGTTTCGGGGCTGGATTGATATGATGTGATGGGCCTCCACTGGGCGTGGAGCAGGCTCAGCAGGCACATTGGAATCGTGTTTTGGCAGCTCACACATTCTCCACGGTTATGAATTCAGCAGTTACAACAAAACGGAACTTAAAATCACAGTCTGTGTTTGTGTCTCAAGTGCGGAGGAGAAATACAGTATCAGGATGAAAGAGACAAGCAAAAGGATGGGGGAGTTAATTCGTGTGTGTGTGTGATGACTTTGATTAGGGATGCTTACAGGATCATGGATACAGGGTTATGGACCCCCCTACCAGTGATTACAGCACTGAAAAAAAAGTCTGTCTTCTGTCTTCCTCCATCAATCACCAGCCGCCTACAGTCCCTCAGGGAGAGGTTCATGACTCCTCCCCTTTGGGCTTTTTATTGGGGGCAGAGCAACATCACACTTTGCCTTGAGCAAGACATGGTTGTTTGTGCTCTCTCCGACTAAGTAGATGAATTCACTTTACCCTCTACTATCGTTAACATTGACCTTCAGTATGACTCACTGGTTTTTTATAGAATCAAGAGAAAAATAATGAATAAATTTTATAAATGCTTTTCAGATATAAACAAAATGCCTGATGTTACATCAGTCACTTTCTGTGTCTCTGTGGCAACACCGGATAGAAGCAACCTAAAGGTTTATTTGGGTTCATGGTGTCAGACAGATGTCCTGACAGGAGGCCTATCAGGGTCCAAGGCAGTGAAGTGTGTGCAAAGCCTCTTCACGTCTCAGCCGGCCAGGAAGCAAGCCAGCAAGCTGCACACAGTGGCAGGGTATAGCCCTCACAGCCACACCACCCTAGTGAGCTGCTTCCTCTGGCCGCTTTCCACCCCACAAAAGGCACCATAAAATCCAGAGTAGCTCTGTGAGCCACTGTCTGAGTGTCCAAAACATGAACCTTGGGGGAGGGCATTTCACTTTCAGCCTTTTCCACTTAACTCTGAAGCCCCGAGACTGAGATTAGAGCTAGTGTCTGTCCCATGCCGTTTTCTGTTAGGTGGTGTGGCTCTGCGACAAAGCCCGTGCTTATCTCTTAAGAAAGACAGTTACCCGGAAGGAATTCTTAGCAGATCCTTCTGATTAATTATAGGGACTGGGATGTAGCTCAGTGGGTAGGGTGCTTACCTGACAAGCCTGAAGGCCTGGGTTTGATCCCTAGCACCATGGAAACTGAAGTAAGTTTGAGGGTAACCAGGGTTACATAAGTCTCTGTCTCAAAGAGAAAAAGGCACCCACCACACACAATTACATTATTGCTAAGTTTCCAGAAAGACCTGTAAGAATAGTACAAGGGCCTGGATTTGCAACTGACTAGTGAGTGCAGATAGTGTTAGTGATGAAAACAGGTAGGTACTTTAGGGCCTTCTTGTTTCTAAAACTTTTGAGTGACGAGTGTAGACATTTTGCACTGAAACATCCCCAGTCTTCCTGTAGAGACTCCCTGAGACACATCCGAGACAGGAGTGTGGGCTGGAGGGTGGAGTTCCCGCTACCCCTTTTTACCTCCCTCCCCTCATGGCCCCTACCCCCACCCACAGCAAGGTAGCTTCCAGAGCTCTCAGCTGTCACTCCACTGTCACTTGGTCTTGGCTTCTTCATTCCTGTTCTGGGTGTGTCATCCAATGAACATAATTCTCACGGGGCTGGACAGGTTGACCAGATCACTTCCTGGGCTTTCGCCTGGCCTGCGTTGTGTGATTTCTTCTGCAGAGGGAACTCACACTCTTGCATACTCTTTGGCAAACCTCAGCTGCAAGCCTAGCCCGAAGCTGTTAGCCTTGCTTGCTGACACCACTATGGTGGCATCAATACCTGCTCAGGGCACGCCGTGGACACTAGAGATGGTAGAACCGCCTCTTGTCCTCAGCGGGGTGTGGCGGCACACATCTGTATCCTAGCACACTGGAGGTTGACACTGTGGACTTGAGACTTGGAGGGCAGCCTGGGCTACATGGAGCATGTCGTAAAGGAAGAGAGCATCATTTCTGCACCGATTCCTTTTGCACCTGTTATGTTTTGAATGGAAAGTGTCCTCCATAGGCTCATGCGTTGGGGCACTTGGTCCCCAGGTGGTGGTGCTATTTGGATGGGCTGAGGGACTTCCAGGATAGGGAGCCTTGCAGCAGGAAGTGTGTCACTGCGTTGGGCTTTGAACCTGTATAGCTTTGTCGCCCTTCCTGCTCACACTCTCTGAGTCCTGTGTACCGTTGAGCTGTGATCTCTCAGCTTTCTGCTGCCGAGCCTCCCCAGCCGCTGTGAGCATCTATCCTCTGGAACCATAAGCCAAAATAAACTCTTCCTTAAGTTGTCTTTGTCCGTAGTATTTCATCACAGCAACAGGAAAGTAACTAATACAATACCGTTTTC